TTATTTTCGAGTCAAAATATCTAGATGCTTTGCACGCGTACATCCCGACTATCTTTTCTGACCATATTGGTCAAAAAGGGGCGTAACGAAATGTCAACACATGTTGGCGGAGTGAGCATATAACTGATTACAATAAATGTGTCTGTTCATAACTCACTTGTTGTTAGATGTCTCAAAGATGCCAGTTTCAATTGCGGATTTAGGCGACCCGTACTTTTCCGGTTGATCGTTGCGTACAAACCGGAATGAATGTTCATATCTCTTCGTTTCTGTGTATCTTCACTGTTCACTGTCGAGAATGACACAATCTAGGCACATTTATCCTGTAGGTTTAGCAATGGTCCTCGAAATCATGTGTCGGCAGCATAAAAGTGCCAATGTAGATATTTCGGTGTAATCAATAACTGGCTTGGGAACATCAGATTATGATTACACTCAGAAAAATTGTTACGACCAACAGTTAATCGTTGGCAATTAGGGCATCTCAGCTTTGTGTATACCATGTAATTAGTTTCTTCGGGATAAGATATGCTGTTTCGATGTCGCTCCATTTCCGATCGATCTTGATGACAGTATTGTTTATGTCATTGTTTATGTCACTAGTCAGACCACAGCCACCTTTCATAAACCTGACTTCATACTTTTACAGTTACCGTTTTTACAAATAAAGTTTCATTTACTTCCGCATTTGCACTGGTTCTTCGAATAACGATTTGGCATAAAAGTGTAATAAAAGAACACTCACNAACACTCACGTAATCGGACATGAAACTGTTCAACTTTCTATTACATAAGTAGCCATAGGTGCATTTTTACTTTCCCAGTTTCCATAGTTTAGCGCCATCTTGGTTATACAAATTTCGAGATGACGGCTCGCTAAACCAAGGTTGGGATATTGTAGCTGTTGAGGGAAACCTAATTTTCTCTAAGATTTCCTACAGAATCAATGAAGAATGCAGTTGGACCAATCACCGCTGTGGAAAATTTCTGGTTTGAACTGTTGTTGATAGTACAAACAAAAGGAGCAGCCCACAAGGGCTTGTTTTGTTTATTATTTCTTCACAAACAACTNATACTAGCTGTGATGCAGTTTTTCTGTTTTACTTTACTGCTCGTGATTTACGGAGTACAAATTTCCGCTCAGATGGGTCCCATTACAACCCACGCAACACATGTCGCAATTGTATTGCTTAGTTGTCACACGGACGCCTATTTGGTACACTCCGGTATCACAATACACCAATAAAAATCTCCAACAAAGACCAGTGTTTTAGTCTATCTCGGTTACTGGGACACTGAGAAGTCACACGCAATACGAGATTCGTAAGAAGTTCTGTCGACCAGCCGCTATTTCCATCTGATTCATTGGTCATCCCAATTATTTTACTCGGTGAGTTACGTCTTCGTCGGTTTACACAGAGTTAATATATATGCTTATGCGTGAGGGGACACAAGGGTATTGGGATCTAATTGACGGATAGGAACCATAGGAAGTTGAATGTGTAGTGAATGCATGGGATCCACAGTAATCTTTTATGCAAACTTTTCACATGCATTTGAATTATCTTCACACAGATTGATATCGAAAAGATACGGCTAATTACGATCAGGCCACGTACAAGAAGCCAAAATTCTTTCTTTATGAGTTTAGAAAACAACAGATGAACAATAAAATAAAATATGGAAAATATACTGGCACGTGAAGTTAGACACGATCGACTGTTGAATCTGAAACTGACGAAGTTTACGGATATGGAGAAAAATTCGTCGAAGTTTAGTGACAGTATGTTAAATGTGAGTCCGATGAAGTGTATCGTCGATAAAACGTTCCAGGTATTTGATACAGCTTACCCACGATACCAGTTCAGAGCTAATCATTGCCGGATCAGTTGAGAAAGAACGTGATACCGTAAAGAGACAGTCGAAAAATGTAGAGGAATTAAGAGAGAGAAGGGAATTAGCGGAAAATTATTGGATCTTATCCAAGTTACCAACAAATTGTAACAGATCAGAAGAATCGGAAAAAGCCACATAGTCGGTGTATTTAAGAATAGAGGTCACTGTTTTAACAGACAAATCGCGAATATGGGTAGAAAATACGTATGGAGAAAGGACGGTACCTTGGAGTACGCCGGATTTATGCACCAATGGTCTGGATTTCATTCCACCTAGCCTGGTGCATAGAATTTTTCCAGAGAGGTGATCAGTAATCCAGGGTCACGATTGCTTGGGACAGTCGAGTAATTCAGTTTACGGAGTCGGACGAAGCGAGGAACAGAATCAAAGAAGATGAGTAATTCAGAAATGCCTGACTCCTAGATCTCGCATGAGGGTTGTACGCGAAGTCAACAGAAGACTGGGTCGTTGAAGAATGGTACTTTCTGTTCGATTAAGATCAATAAAATTTCGAACGATAGGACCGAAGCGTTTGGTTAGAACGATGGGATTGACGGATTCATGGATGAGAACAAACGTTTCCAGTCTCTAAAAGTCTAGTATGAAACAGATGTTTAAGGAAATTTTTAAGAATGGTGCCAATATTTCGGCACTAGAATTGGCTCTATATCCCAAACTGAAAATGAAAGGCCATCAGGACCAGAGCCATAAGTGAGTTTCGTTACACACCCGTTCAAAGAAGGAAGGAGTAAACGGACTGCTGTCTCGTCACTATTGACGACTTGACGTCAATTCGAGGCCTGACACGTTTTCCTGTTCCGCAAACTCCACTCTGAGCTTTGGCTAGAGTTGTTCATTGGGTAATCGCATGTGATTATTTTATTTGCAGTGTTTGTCAGAGACAGAGTGATTACAAATGAAACACCACGGTGATCAGATCAAAACTTGCTCTAAATGTTTACAACAATTGAATAGAAGAATCGGTCGATTGGGTCAAAACGGGTTTCCCATTTGGAGAACTATTGGCCAGCTAATGGATGATTAGTGACATTAGGTGACCTGGCTGGATGTCCTAGGTAGTGAGGCTCCGATATGTACTCACTAGGTGCGCATAACTGGTTCATTCGCACACGGTACCATTACCTTGTTACTGGACTCAGAGACTCACTCTGTTCCATGACTTATTCCTTCATTAGACCATCAACTGGAAGGCTAGAAGACAGTAACAACAGCTGCCCATGGAATTGAAAGATTGATAGTTGTGTTAAGTTAAATGTGTACAAACAAGTAGAAGTAAGATGCTCAAGGTAAGAGGCATAGAGAGGAACTTTCAGTTACGCTTCGTTCTGTGATGGACTTACGCTTGTTGAGCAGCTTTAAGGATTACAATGATCCATATAAAATCTAAAAAAGGCTCATGAAAAATATGGTACATCTGATGTAACGGAAATTCTCCCTATATTTTTTATCGATGTGTCGTTTACAATCAACCTCTGGAGGTACCTTTACTTTTTTCATTTCTTGATGGAAAATGCGAAAGAATCCTTCAATTGGTATGACGAAAGACGATACGTGTATGATAACCTCAAAATCTTGAAAATTCAGCTTACCGAGGACATCTGTTTCATCAATGATCTCTTCTTGAAGAATTTCTTCAATGACGTCCTCCAGTGTGACGACACCGATTGTAATTTTTCTTCCAGTGTCTTTGTTTTCCGTGGTAGCCCCTCTTGTTACAATGGCAATATGAGAGCTTCCTGTGGTGCAAGACGTATGAGATGATTTTCAATCAGCTGAAAATGTTTTGATGTTAATTAAGCAAGTAACATTTTAATTCATGCTTTCAAAACATCTGGCTGTTACCGCTCTGGAGGACTTTGATTTCTGGTGCTTCTTTTTTCATGTTTGTCTTAGGCTCTTTTGTTTCAGTTATGGGAAATCCGGTGGCATTACCGAGAATTTATATGATTCTTTTGAGTTGCACGATTTTTTTAATCAATAACCACAATGTTCCATGTTAAGAACGACCTTTTCGGGTAGGGAATATTCCTTATTCCTGTTTCAAATAAAATATTGTACAGTTCTACTATTATTTTAATTTATAATGGGCATATTTACTACCTCGTACACTGATTAAGCAAGTCAATTCACGACAATAGGGCTAGATATTTTTCCACTTATGTGCAAGAATTAAATGATCCAGGGGTAAGAAGAAATTAATCTTAGCTCCGACTTCAGAACATCTTCTTCCAAAAGCTTAAAAGCTTATCGGTAAGAAACTCTGGGGATTATGCATCGGATTTGAAACCAATGTATTTACTGTCGTAAAAGTTTGGTGAGGACACTAGTGGTTCTCTCCTCCGAGAATACGAGAGAGCGGAATATAAAAACTATTTCATACTAACTCAAAGTTATTAACGGTCTGATCAGCTGCTCGGTGTCCATGTGTGTTAGCATTCTATCGTGTGAGGTGTTGGGCCCCAGTTTGGGTCAATGGATTCGCAATGTTAATAAGACCCAACCAGGTAAAAACAGCTGTCAAATGCTTCCTAGCCTTACAGCCCACGTCACATTTACACGACGAAATCATCATCTCAAGCAAAGGTGTCTAAAATGTAAAACTTCAGCAGCTCGTGTTTTAATGTCATCTCATTCATCCAGCTTGTGTGTAATATGTGATCCTGATAGCGGATTAACATACAAGTTGGTTAAAGTCACTGATCTATTGTGCTTAACGCTTATTGAATCCACCAAATATACCTATCGATTTTCGGAAAGCTTTTGTGGAACTTATTCAGGCTATGAAAATAAGGTGCACAAGGCATGTACATCAGGACAAACCCATTACTTTACAAATTTTAGCGGGTATCTAGTACACTGTGAGCCAATTAAAAATTTTATCGATAATTCAAAGGTCGTTAATTGCAAATAAATACCGTTTATATTATAAAACCTTTCTCGGACAAATGTCATGGAAAATACGATAACCGATCTGCTTTTTCCAGACTTAATTAATTACTTGTCCCGTGGGAAGCTTTTGGTGCGCTCATTCCAGATTTGAATATAAATTGTCATGACTCTGGTGAATGTCTTTTAAAAGATTCTTATACCATGATTATCAAATCCTTCCAACAGAATATATACCTGAGGAGATATTCGTATAAGCTTTTTTCGGTTATGACAGAAAACTTGTATTTACCTTTTTTAAATATCCTCAAGATATCAGATAAAGGTGTGTTTTCGCTGATTTCGGCAAAAGTACGGTTATAAAATTTGCAGACGGTTGCAATCGGTATCTTGTCGTTAGGATCAACGAATGCCAAATCTTTTACGTTTAGAACAGTACAAATGTTGCCCCTGCTTCCACTGTAGACAGGAATTCGTGTAAATCCGTGCGTGATGATGTCATTGGTAGTCTGAAAGTCTAGAACTGAGTTGTACGGAAGCATATAAACATGGTCAATTGGCGTCATTATATCTTTGGCCGTTTTTGTGCTCATCGATAATGCCCCAGTAATTATGTTCACCTCCTCCTCTCCCACACAACCATAGGACTTCTGGGCTAAAATTAAAGCTTTGAGCTTCTCTCGATTATAAACCTGGCCAATTTCTTCGCCAAAAATCTTGTCAAGTAAATATCCTAAGGGATATGAAACTGGGGCAGTTAGTATAAGGAGCATCTGCGTAAGAAATACTGTTTTAGCTCCAATTAGCAGCCCGTAGTTAGTACACAAAGACTGTGGCAAGATCTCTGCAAATATAAGTAACGTAAATGTTGCTGTAATCACCGCTACCAGTCCTGTACCGATAACTTTGTCGGCCAATATTGAAAATACGACGTTGACTGCTACATTCGATAACAAAAGTGTACATAAAAGTCGATTTCCATTTTCCCTTATCGGTAAAATTACGGTAGCGTACAGCTTTTCCTTAGTGGAACCGGCAGTTTTTACTACCTGTAACATTACCTTGTCTAGTTTTAACAATCCAATATGGAGGCCACTGAAACAAGCGGAAAGCAATAGCATAATTATCATCACAAGAATACTGGCGTAGAACGGAACGTCCATGTAGCTATACCGCAGAATAAGCCCCTTTGGGAATAAAAGTTTTGCATGTCTCCATTTTAGTACTTCGTTGGTATTTTGTTCGCTCAGACAAATATAAAGCTTCGTTTCAGACGAAATAACTTTGGAGAATCGAACATTGAACGAAACCTTTTCCGATTCCTTGGCGTATACCTTTACATAACCAGTCACGCGATCATCATCGCATTCTACCCCATCATCTGCATTCTGTGTGCTGAAAGATATGGCAGTCACATTATTTAAGTTGTTTCCGAATCCCAGGAACACGATCTCATTTAGGGGTTTCACAAGTAGATATCCATTTTCAATCATCATCGTTGATGAAGTTACCATGACGATAAGTTTTGTCTCCTTGGTCATCCTGACAAGGCACAATAGGAGAAGACCTCGAATGATTGTGCGCAGTAACATGATCTGCTTTTTGAATCAACGACTAACTGCAGATGACCTAGAGTTAGGTCAGTTCAGTTTGTCTTGAAGTCTTGAAGTGATTCACGGGTTCGAGGCTGTTGCCCAAATGTCCCGGGT